TTAGTTTGGGAGCCATTATAAGTTATATGAACTCGTGTGTAGCATTTCTGGATGTGATGTCATATGATTTTACCGTCAGGAAAAGAATGGCGACAGATGCAACATTTCTTCCAAATGACTGAGACCAGTCTTTGGACTATCACAACACTCTTTGGCTTCCAGCTGGGAATCTTTGAATTGTTGCATTTGAACCAAGAATACAAAGTAAGACATTAATTGCGTGTTACAAAATGGCCAGAGTACAAAATGGCACAAAAATACAGTGAACGGAGATGCACTGCAGCTGCTGTGGAGCTGGACAACACGCAGGAAGTGCAGACAAGGATCAGTGGAAGCCACGTGGGCGAATTGTCTAAGCATCAGAGCCTTTTTGTCTGCGTTTGGATGGAGGTACGAGACGGGCAGGCAGCTCAGGGGGCAGCCCGTGACCCTCCAGTTTCACTTCAATCAGGTGGCTGGCCAGGGCAAACTCCTCGTCATCCAGCATGCCGTCGTGATCCACATCCGAGAGCTTCCAGATGCGGCCCAACACGGAGTTTGGCAGCCGTGTGCTCACCATCCAATCTTTGGCTTTGGTGCCACTTAGTTTGCCTTCGTTTGGCGCTAGGTTGTAGAAGATCTCATCATACTTGGGCTTGTCCTTTGTCACCACCCATTCCTCATCTTCTTCACCCAATTCACCATTTTCATCCATGGTCTCTCCAAAGGGGTCACCTTCCACAAAGGGTCCGGCTCGGGTTCCCAAGAAAGCCCCACCTTGGACCCCAGGTTGGACCCCAGCCTCTATTTCTTCCTGCCTAAGAAGGGGCATGAGTTTGGAAATATCGGTAGACAACAACTCATCCAGCATAGCCATCAGGTTGGGCTTCAGGGCTTTGAACTTGGTGAAGTCATGAGCCATTAGCTGCTCCTAGGAAAGTCAAGAAAGTCTCTTTCAAGCAACAGAAATGATATTTTGCCCTCAAAACAAGGACCAGGTGGTTGCACTAACCTGCATTTTGGCACAATCAGGGAAGTCTCCAGGAGAGATATGATGCTGTAGCTGAATCTTGGAGAAGATGACCGGGAGCTGGTAGATCAGGTTCTTCTTTTTATTGTCCTTCCTGAAGACAGACGGCATCTCTTGCTTCAAATAACTGATGATATGGGCATGTACCTGTGAGTGAAGCATACGTAGACCCTATTGACTTTCATTGTATTGACACAAAACACTGATATATTATTCAAAATATATTTTTTTGTGTTCCACAGAAGAAAGCCATACAGGTTTGGAACAACATGCAGTAAGTAAATGATGACAAACCCTTGGATGAACCAAACCAAGTGTTTGCATTCGATCAGTTTTACCTTCTGACATCGTCAACAAAGCAGTGATTAATGATATTTTAACATACCCTCACAAGACGGGCCCTCTTGACCAAGTCATTAAGTTTGCGTAGGGCTGCGTTTCGTGGCAGATTCTGGATATCAGCAAACAGATCTTCCTCCTCCAACTCAAACTTCAACTGCTGGAAAATATGTGAGGAAAAGCAGACATCGACCAGAGAGCTGCAACACTGATAAACTAAGATTACCCAACGATGTTCTCTGTGGGAGAGCCTAGAGACTGATCGTCTGCTGTTTACTCTGAAACATGTCTCAGATCAGTATGATCATTTTTAAGTACTCCAGTTAATACCTAATACCTCAAGGGGTCTTCAGTTTTAACTCTTTAAACAGAAAGTATGTTACCGGTAGAAATAGTTTGAAAGGCATATTGTGGAGTATTATAGAGTTTTCACAGGGGACTAGGAGAAAAGGCTAATAATAAATGTTCAACACTGAGTTAAAGAGAAAGGGAAATGGATTGAAATTTGGCATAAAATACTTCCAAACCCCTCTCCCCCTACTTTTCCAGTCGGCTTACCTCGACTCACTCTCTGTTTAGCACCGGAGAGGATGCCCGGGGTGTCAATGATGCTGATGCTCTCCAGAACCTGGTTGGGCATCTGAGCACACTGGAATCTGTCAGAGACAGAGATGAGGTTTAAACACATTTTATATTGCATTCAGTGATCGAACCAAATTTTAACAAGTTCATTATTCCTCCTGGTTGAATGGGTAAGTGAAGTAAAGGCTTAATGTTGTAAGTGTTATAAGTGTCCAAAATTGTCTAAATACGCTTCAGAGGCACTGCATGTCTCATCATGCTATGCACAAAACAGCTGCGATTTGATTCCTTAAAAGGGCACAGCACAATTATCAAACATTCAGGAGCTCTTTAGTTAAAATCACTCTCCCCCTGAGAAAAGCTGAACAAATGATCCATTACTCCTATCACAGCTGTTGTGTGTGATCTAAGAAGCAGACTTCTAGCGTCACTCCTCCCAGGCCGATCCATTGTGTGGAAGTGGTGCTTGAAACACACGGGGCTTCCTGAGGGAAAATGACCAGCGCTGCCAAAATCAAACAATACTTGCCACTAATGATCTGCGGCATAGAAAAACATGGTCTCTTCCTGCTTTAAATGAGTTTAACGAGTGGAATGCTTCCCTGGGCAGGAAGTAGGAGAAAAGAAGTTCTCAAAACATGTTTGCAAAAATACACCCAAAGAGACCGGGGTAAAACTGGATCTGATAAAGACTCCCTGGCACTCAAAACAGCGCCTCCTCTGATGCTGACAGACAACTGCAAGCTAATTATGTTGAAACTTTCTTGGCAAGGTTAATGAGATGACTTGAGGTATTCAGATGACCTGGACTTGAACTACAGCTTACTTTCCTCCCACTGTTTGGCTACTGTTTGGTATTTTAATACCCAGCATTGCTCATCTCATTCACCAAATTAATATTGTTCATACAGAGGGTTAGAAATTTGTTCTAAATATTAGGGGGGAAAGGCTCTTTTTTTTTCTTCCAGATCTCTTAATTAAAAAAATAAAAATGCAATAGAAATGCAACTTGTACATGCAAAGACTTAAAGAAACCTCTTCTATGATGAGCTTGTTTTTATTTTCTGTATATTCTTGGAAGGGCATGAAGTAAAAATATCAGAGTGATATAATGAATAAAAATATAATATAATGATATAAAATAAATTATATGAATATAAATATATACATGTAAATATTTTGGTGTAAGGAAAATATGTTATTACTTTTTAATTAGTTGTTACACATGAAAATAAATTGAGATCTGTTAAACTTTCTGATCATTTGTTCCACATCCTTTCTGCTACATGAATGCTACCTATGTCATAAAGCTAATAAGCATTCACACAACACACTTGCAACTGCATAGCAATAAGCTAAAAAAAAAAACCTTGGCAACCTCATAGCAATGCTCTGGCAACCACCTACTACAATCTAGCATAATGTAAAGCACCATTCACATTATCTGCAGAAAATGCAAAAATCCTTTCTTCATAAAATGTAAAACTCATAAATATTTGATTAAGTAAAGACAACTTTGAAACAAGGTCTTCTCTTTAAACTTTGGTGGACTCCTCTAAATAATCTCACGTTGCAGTTCTGCTTTAGGCACATTAGCGCTCATTGCCCTCTCTTGTGATATCGCTCCCTTCCACAAGTTTTCCACAAATAAGGAAAGTCCCTCCTACCTTAGAAATTTGGCACGGACGCTTGAAATTCCGTAGAGCAAAAACTAACACACTGGTTCTCTGTTATCTTCCCTGCGTGCCCAGAGTAAGCAGATGGATCAGTCGACACATTCTTCCATACAACCCATTCTCATTTCTAATGTCATGTCGTACATAGCAGCTCAGTGTAACATCTGCCTGTATGACTCTATTCACCTGTTGAGGAAGGTGTTTCCGAAGGGGTTGAGCTTGCGGAAGGGTTTGTTGGCATCTACTATCAGGGCATTTCCAGGAATGATGCCCTCCACGTCTCCGTGCATGATAGCGGTGAAGCAGTCGGTGGTGGGCTCCGGCCCTATACGACTCCCTGGGACGTCCTGTTCCAGCAGATACCTGTGTTGACAGAACAAAGCCATGGTTACAGTGTTGACATGATAGTTTTTAATAACCTTGTGGTTTTTATTCTGTCATCTACTAGAACAGACAAAACACTGTGGAACACTTTGGGTTAGTTCAGCTATATATTTCCATTCAGTAGGCTAAATGACCTAAAACCAACCCTTGAATTTAATACTGGGTTCAAACCAATGTTATATAGACAGAGAATAAACAGAAAATCACACCTAGTGAGCTCCCAAGATCCTATCCAGGGCCATAACCACACAGACACCATAGTTTTAGCTTCTGTCAAACATACTGTTACGTTAAAGTCTGTGTAAAGCAATATTAAATATGTGTTCTGAATTTGTCACACCACAGAAAAGTGTTAACCACCCAGACAAATTTGAATGATAAAAAAAAAACCGCCAAGTAAATAAAATAAGTTGTCAAAATCTTGAAAAAATAAGCAGTATTCTCTGCTCTGAAACGCTGGGGGCGTGTCCGCTGTCGGCGCTGAAACCACGCCCACTCGCGGGAAAGCTGCCGCCTCAATCAACTGTCAAATACAGCTACAACCTGAATGGATGCTTCTTCTTGCAGCTCAGCTGGATTTACACAGCCATACAACGGGTAATATGCATTTACAGCCTAGCTAGTAAACTGTAGTAGGCTGTAATAATTTATGGTAATATCAGTAACTCTCACGATTGAGCAGCGAACCACTGATGCTAATGCGCTCTAGTTATATTGTTAGGGTCATGCTCAGTGGCTCAAGTGCGTCATCAAGACATGATTTCAGGCCCGCCCAAAAAAATCCTGAACACAAAATGGTGGAAAACTTCTTAATGGTCTAACTACACAATTCAGTACTACATAGTTCACAGTCTTTGTAACGTGTTTTCAGTAATACATTTCTAACATCTATAATGTGTTTAGATTGCTTTTACACGGACTTTAAACCCCTTAAAAGCCCTAGACTCAGAAAAAGCACTAGTTAACTGACTTATGTAGGATCTTACTTGATGAAAGTAGTCTTTCCTGTGGAGTACTGCCCAACCACTAGCACCATGGGTTTGTTGTCAAAGTCGGCGTCCTCCAGACTCGGTGAGTGGAAGTCTTGGAAGCCGTAGTACTGCTCCAGGGGCAGGAGTTTCTTTCGGTAGAGTGACTTGAGGCCCTCTGTCACTGTCCTGATCACCTCAGGGGCCTTCTTGACATTCCTGCGTCCCCAGCGTGACATCTTCGACTTGAGGGAGTATTCAGAGTTTCCTTTGCAGTTAATTTATGGCTCTGTTTTGCACTGTTTACGTGTCCTCTGGGATGACTGTGAAGACTCTTCTCTTGCTTACAGTATTTATATAATGTACCCAAGTGTTCTGCCTCAAAGGTTTACAGTAGTTAAGGGATGTTTGCTGCAGTTATAAAGCAAACTATAGTATACAATGTTATATAACTTTTAACCCCCGGGTTTCTTCTGTTTTAGTAAATGAATTTTTTTGCCTGAAAAACATAAAAAGGTAAACGGAAGGTTCAATGGTAAAAGGCTATATTGTATACTTATACTGTAGGCATTTTATTTCTTGGGTAACAGGCCTTGTTCCCATTAAAATGCCTAGCTTTTCCATTTATCTTCAAATAAAGAATCTAAAGAGACGTTTTCAGCCTACAGGGAAAGTGGAGTGCATTGTCTATGCATGTCCCTGGAAAATGTTGGTGCTCATTTGGGAAACATTTAAACACACCCAAACTCTGAGTCCACAAACACACATTCATAACTTATTTCCGTATATTGAAAAGTGAGACATGTTTTCCAGCGGCGGCTTACAGTGGAAAGTTAAATGAGTGAAGGATTACGGTGTGTAAAGGGCTGAATACACAAGTGTATTCAGTAGTTTTTGATGAATCCGGACAGGATTTTGCAGTAATTCCACTAATGAGCATTTGGCTCACAGTGGATTCGAAACACTACAAACGCATCATGCTTATCAAGAGGACTTATTCTGAATCAAAATGGAGTTCATGCAGAAGTAAATGCATGTTTCTCACGTCAAGGTTGTGCCAAATTTAGAGCCTCTGAAAAGACACTAGTTGTGTTGTAATAAAAGTTCAACTTTTGCACAGCTGCCTTGGCAAAAGCATGATGGTTGGGATTTGACTTTATGTAATAAGACTCACATGTTGCGCAGAAGACAGAAAATGCCTTGTGGCATCCTTCACCACAATTGCAACACAAGACAGTTGACTTCTTTTGGAGAAGCCTTGAGCTTCAGTTAATTTCCAGAAGTATTACAGAACCAGAACACTGATGTGTTCCCATGATCGGAGGAAAGGCCAAAGACATTTGCTCTCTTGTTTGGACCTTTTCTTGGTTCATCGATGCATGCATCAACTGTTCCGAACTTTATTCTGAACCTATATCTAATCAGAAAGGGATTTTAAAGTGCAACACGCAAAGCAAAAGGTACACTCCAAAAAGTTCAAGATTTGTCCTCTTACCTGGAGAATGCCGAGTCTAGGATTGAAGTACTTGAAGAGATGATGAACCTTAACCACTCTTTCTACAGCCCTGGAGGTGTTTCTACACGTGAAGATGTACCTTAGAAGAACAATCTTTGTCCAAGGCACCCAAGTAGCACCAAGTCAAACGTTTCAAGTCTTAGATTTTTCATGTATTTCAGATGAGAGGTCTTGATCTGATCTGCCTGTGCTTCTGACTCCTCCAGCAAAATCAGCTCTAAGGCATGCACACAAGTACTGCCTCTTTCCCTGCCTATGTTTCTCTCTGCACCTCTTCTTCAAACACTGCCTAACGCAGAAGCAGGGGAGAGCCCTGGACGGCGAGTGATGACAATGGGTTTAAACCAGGGTGGGGACAGGGAGTGAGGGGGCGCATCAACAACCTAAGGTGGAGTCAAGCGTTTTATAGGGAGAGTCATTCATTTACATAAAGTACTGCCTGCAAACGTGAGGGCGTGGTGGTGCTTGTCTTTCAGCGGACACTGCACCATGGGGCAATGTATTCTATTGTGATTTCTTTGGCTTTTGTTTAATCTAAGAGATATGTTTGCAGAGCAGATGTTCACGTGACTCTTGATGCTGGCATGACAGACCACCTTTGAGAGACTTGGCAGATCATTGTGCTCCATTGCAGCTCTCTGACTCCGACCCGATTAAGCAATGCCCCCTACTGGCCAGTCAGATCATTACATAAACACAATGAAGTCAAATAAATCTCTAGCTATCAGCCTTGAAAAAACAAAGTCAAATGGCAAACAGAAACAAGTGTGATTGTTTCATAAAAGAAGCAAGGTTTAATTTACAGTTTTACTAAATGTACAGTTTTTTAAAAAGTGTCATTATACACAATAAATACAATACAAAATTAATCTGTAGTACTATACTTCAAATTCTTACAGTTCTATTTTCTTTTTTCTCTTTACATTATTGTTCTTTTTTTCTCCATGTCATTGCTTTCGCTGTGTTTGCTTCTGAACGGTTTGAAGATATTTCAGTGATTCTATCTTAAATGTGTATAAGTGTCTGAACCATACATATGCCTACAAAAAAAAAAAAAAAAAAGTATAAATGAGGGAGGCTTTGTGTCTGGGAACTTTTCACACTCTGCACTTCCGAGATGCAAAAATGGCTGTTTTTTGGATTTTCAATAATCTTCCCCCAAAAAAAAAATTACATTTCTTTGATTAAAAGGGTGACCACATTTGCTGTGCTGTGTATGTTTGATTTGTAAATGTGCTCTTGATACTGGAATGCTTTAAAGGTCAAGAGATTTTCTACAGTTCTGGTGACTTTTCTGTTTGTGAATGCTTCATTGTTAATTCATGTAGCTGGATAACCAAAACAAGATTTCACGTCTTAGGGGAGACAAGAACACTATATTATTATGCATTAATGAGCCACTACACAGTGACCACCAGTTCCCAAAAATATAATTTCATGGTAAAGGGGGACCATTCTAACACAGGGAGAAGTGATCCATTAGTCTCTCCAAAATAAATTCTCCATAATAACCAAATAAACTACTATTTGATATGACAATTTTCATGATATCACTTAAAAAGTTCCTGCAATCTGCATACGTCACAGTAATTACAAACATTATTTATTAAATAAATGGTCATATATTTGGCTCTCACAAGTTGAGAGAAATCTTTAAATTGGGAAACCGACGTAGGAACCGTCCCAGATTCGGACAAAATTTTGAAAATCATATCAAAGTGCACTTTTTATACTTTAGAAAGTACACTTAAAGGGCCATATGTAAACCAAAAGAACACACTTCATAAGCACAAACCACAAACAAAGCAAACACAGCTGATCATGGGAAAAGTGTCTCCGTTTGCTTCCCCTATCCATTGACATCCTGCTTTTCAGTCTTTCAGTCAACATCGGCTAAAGGGACTGTTATCTACTGTGCGTCTGTGAAACCAAATTTCCATTTTGTCCTCGGCCCCCCACCTGTGGATGCTGGGACATGGGGGCGGACAAGGGTGGCGTGGAGAGGGGAGGCATGGACTGTCTGTAGGAAGGATGGGTTTGGTGCTGATTAGGCAGGTTTTCCCCATGAACCCTCCCTAAAGCTGCTTTCCCTGAGCCTCCATGTCCAGGAGGGCCCTGTTGGAGGTTCAGTATACTGTCTATGGCACACTGCAGGTGGTCATTCAACGAGTCGTCAGGTGGCGGGCTGCCGCTGGAGAAACTCGCATTGTCCATATCCGGAGAGTCGGACTTACAGCGTTTGGCAGGAAGTGTGGAGTCTCTTGTGCAGGAAGACTCTCCAGGAGAAGGTGGACCAGGGGCATGCTGATCCATCCTAAAGGTACCCCTTCCTCCCTCTCGGTTTTTGCTCCCTATGCCCTTCAACCGCCCCAAACGGCCACCTTCCTCTGCCTCGTCCTCTTTGTCAGAAAACTCTCGGTGATGTTGGTACGCATTTTTTATGCCACGGTAGAGGACATCCTCTACTGCCGCGAGACTCTGAGACTCTGAATGGGGGTGAGACCGCCCATGTCCGCCCTGCCTCTCTAGTTTCACGCTGGCTATCACAGTCCGTTCAGTTTGAGGAGAGGAACCTTGTGGCTGGGGGGAAGAAGTAATAGGGGGTACTGCTGGTAGAATGGGCAATGTATCTCCACCTCCTCCTGGTACTCCTGGCCTGCGACGTGGACTGATGTTCTCACGGTACGTCTTTCGAAGCGGGAGCCGGCAAGTGGTTAATGGTGGAGCCGCCGTGGACGCTGGGTTCCGTTTAACTCCGCCTACCTCGTGGTGTTCTAGAGTGCCGTTCATCTGTGCCGTAGATGTGGAAGGGGACGATGAAGACCAGGAGGAGGAAAATGAGGGCGCAGGTCCACTAGAGGAAGTTGCACTACTGGAGGCAGAGCCTGTGTGTGCAGTTACCGTAGTGACAGTGGAAGAGGGGGTGGGATAAGACGTTGGGGGAGGAGTTCTAATGACTGTGGTGGGTGGGGTTACATGGGTGGGCTTGACTTTCTGCGGCTGCTCAGGGGGCGGCGGTTGTGGAGTGAGTTGGGATTGGGAGTGGACCGGATCTAAAGCAGTGTTGTGAACCACCTTACTAAATCCCGCCTCTTGTTTGATCTTCAGCTTCAAACCTATTCGCTGACGTGCCTCGTAGGTCTTGATGGGCGGTTTGCTGGTCCTCTGGGGAAGCGCGACATCATCGTCGTCATCAGTAGGGCGGGTGGATGGAATGCGGCTGAAGGAGGCGCTTGGCGTGACTGGCTCTGCAGATGGCCGGACCACAGGAGCAGGCGTAGGCGTGGAGCTGGTGGACCAGGATACTGATGCTCCCCCTCCACCTTGCTTAATCACCAGCTTGGTAGGAGGGAAGAGGGCAGGGCTAGAAGCAGGAGTAGGTGCAGGGGTTGGGGTTGGAGCAGGGGCAATAGCTGCAGCTGGAGCAGGTGCAGCTGCCACAGGTTGACCTGCACCTGCTACTGCTGATGATGATGCAGTTCGTACAGAACTCCGCTCCACCTTTACAGGTCTCACGGCACTGCTGTCCAGCAAACAGGAATTGGCCACAAATTCTTCTACAAAGAGTAAGAGAGGAAGGTGATTAAATACCACACCATCAGAAAATACACAGTTTATTCCCATTTAAAATTCACATGCTTTAATGGTAACTTGTATTGAACCCTAGTCATTACCTGGTTTCTCCTTGGCCAGAACCCTGTCCTGACTAAGAGCAACCTTCTCCTCCTGAATGAACATCCGGTCAATCATAACCATCTCTGCTGAGGGACCCAGCCTCTGCTCAAGGTAAAAAGCACACAAGAGACCAATGAATTTAGGGCTCACAAGGTCCAAACATCAAGAGAGATCAAGTGAGTGAGATTTAAAATGATACCTTTGATTCCTCAAAAAGCAAGTGACGATATTTATCCACCATTGCTTGCGTGCGCCTCAAGAGTTGGCATGAGACGTTCTCAAATTCTTCATCCACTGGACAGAGAAGTGTAAAGCGAGAATTACACATCAGCCCTGAAGAGGGTGCCACACAACTACGCTACAGGACCGTAAAAGAGCGTTCACAAATGGCGCTTTTCCACTGCGTGGTACGACTCGGCTCGGCACGGCTCAGTACGGTATGACACGGAGTGGGCGGGATTATTCACATGTCGTTATAGTTGCGCCGCCTCTATTGCCGCGACTCCTGAAAAACTTTTTCATTCTGCGTCGCCCCATCAAGCTCGCTGGATCCGCTCCTCTGCTATCAACGAGAGGAACGTCTGTACTTCCTCAACAGACAACGAAACTTTTTGGTTGTTAAAAAAAGGTGCGCTCGTTCAAAACAGTTGCGTTCGATCCTTTGCTGGCTGTGCTGATTTAAATCTAGCGGGTCTGTTGTGTTTGTGTCACAAGTTCAGTGACGCAGGTAGTGACGATTCTCTCCGGCCAATCCGTGATCAGCAGAGTTTACACGTCACATTTTGGTAACGGTACGGTTCACTTGGAACCTCAACCGAGGTGGTACTAAAAAAAGTACCAGGTACTGTACCCAGTGGAAAACCCCCCAAAAGTGAACCGTACCGAGCCGTACCATGCAGTGGAAAAGCGCCAAAAGAGGTGTGAGCATTTACCTTTGCGGTAGTCTTCCGGGGATGAAGCCATGCCTTGGTACAGGTGGTACGGCAGCAGTCGATGAAGAGTGTCCTCAAATGAGCGGAAAGGAGAGCTGTAGTCAGGATGGAGAACCGAGCCTTGCTGTTTTCGCAGCTGTTCCAGCATCCTACAAATAGATACACGAGCATGCGAGTAGGAAAACAGCTTTACAAAGCATACTGCAAAACAACTAGCAAGTCATCAACAAATGGTTTCAAACCTAGCATGATGCATAGCTAAAGGGTTAGTTCACCCAAAAATGAAAATTGTCATTAATTACTCACCCTCATGCCGTTCCAAACCCGTAAGACCTTTGTTCATCTTCGCAACACAAATTAAGATACTTTTGATGAAATCTGAGCGCTTTCTGACCCTGCACAGACAGCAACACAACTGAAATGTTCCCAGACCCAGAAAAGAAGTAAGGACATCGATAAAACGTTTCATGTGACATCAGTGGCTCAACTTTAATCAATATAATCAGCATGGTTTACGTTCAGGAGAAAGCGTGTGCATGCGTCATGGTACTCTACAAAAAGGCGGAAGATGTTAACTTGAAGAATTGTTGAATAAATTGTTATTTTTGTTTTCTTTGCACACAAAAAGTATTCTCGTAGCTTTGCAAAACTGAAGTTAAGCCACTGATGTCACATGGACTGTTTTATCGATGTCCTTGCAACATTTCTGGGTCTGGGAACATTTCAGTTGTGTTGCTGTCTATGCAGGGTAAGAGAGCTCTCAGATTTCA